TCAAGGGCATTCATCTGAGCTGTGGTTTAAACACAGATGGACCAAGCTTCACAATCACCCTCTTCCCAATGCATCACACTGTCAAAGGTTGGAGGGTTCAAGACTGGCTGCCACACTCAGCAAAATGCCTCTTTAAGAAGCTGTTGCCATATATACTATAGTTTTAAAATTAATACTTTTATGAAATTCTTGAGTGTGTGGGCCTCTGACTCTTGTGCCTGCTCTTAGGGCTCTTTTGTTTTTGCTCAGACAATGCTGTTCACTCTCTGCATACCTCTTCAATATTGTACTTGAAGTTCTAGGTAGAGCAATAAACAAAAGGAGATCAAAGAGATACAAATTGGAAAAGAAGAAGTCAAACTTTCACTATTTGCAGTATGATATGATAGTTTACATAAGTGACTCGAAAAACTCTACACAGGAACTCTTACAGCTGATAAACACCTTCAGCAAAGTGGCAGGATACAAGATTAACTAAAAAAAAAATCAGTAGCCTGACTATATCAGAAGACAAAAGGGCTGAAAAAGAAATCAGAGAAACATCCCTTTACAATTGCCACAAACAACATAAAATACCTTGGGGTAACGCTAACCAAACAAGAACTTTGAGTCTTTAAAGAAAGAAATTAAAGAAGATACCAGAAAATGGAAAGATCACCCATGCTCTTGGATAGGTGCTCCACAGCCTTCCCAAATAGGGCCACTAGCTGGGGAATAGCTATTCAAGCATCTGACTATGGGCAGATATTTTGGATTCAAATTTATCAGGGACCTTACAGAGACCATTAGAAAATGGAGAAGGAGCCTTCATAAATGGGATAAACACTCTTACTGGAGACACACAAGAGAAACCTTTCACCTTGCTCTGAGAACACAGCAAGAAAGTGCTACCCAGGAACATGGATTCCCAGCACATTCAAAACTTGTCCAGTCCCTAGAGCTGTGGGAAAAAATCTGTAGTTTAGAGCCACCGAGGTGTTGGTATTTTGTTTCTTAAGTCCACACTACCACAAATCCTTTTACATAGGACAAACCAGCCTTGTTCTGGATATTTTTCTCACCATTTCCTATAGAATTGCAAACTTTTTCAAACTCTCAGCCATAATATAAAAAATGGTATTTTCAGAGGGTTTTATATTAACTTTTGTATGTTCAATCAAGATAGACTGTCACTTCTATCAGGGACCTCATCATCCACATGATAGCATTTTCTTCTAAGAACATTGCACGTTTTGATTGGGCATTGCCCTGAAACCACTGGCCTACATCATAGAAAATGGAGGTAACCTCCTGCTGTGTTACCTGTAGCATGCCCCGCTGAAAGGACTCACAACGCTGTTTAGTGAAGTCTTCACTACATAAATTATATTTAGTTGTTTTTATTTTTCCTATTTTCTCCCATAGAATTCTAGCATCATAAGATTTAACTGTGCCTTCGTTGCTATTTTCAACAAAGAGAAAGGTTGAAAGACAATAATTTTGTAACAAGATGGTTAAAGCACTCACTGTCCCTTGGCCAAGTTGTCCTGGTCAATGATTCCTTTTCTAGATTCTCAGTCACTTCTGAAAACAAATGTTTTGTTGGTGGTGGTGGGAGCTGCTGCCAGGTCCTTGGAACATTACGTTTTTTGTTTTTGTTTTTGTTTTTTTTTGTTTTTTGTTTTTTATTTAAGCTGTGGAACAAGCCTGTTCACTTCAACTTTAACAGGAAGTGGACATGTTAAGATCTTTGTGCCATTTCTCATTTCTCAAAAAGAACTATCATTCTGATAGTATTTACTTGCCAGTTTAAAAAACAGAAGGATAAAGTAGAACCAGGACTTCTTTTCTCTATTTTTGTTTTTTTATGCTAAGAAATTTTCTTATACCTGAAGGTAATTATACCTGTAAACTACAGATTGGCAAATCCAAACCTGGACCCTGAATCATCACTGAGTGCAGGCTGTAAATGTGTCCCAGCTGTTAACTACACAGGCTACAAAGAGCGGGATCTCAAAATGGCTCATCAAGTGACTTACAAATATCAATCATGCAAGAAGAATTAGGTTTTTTTCCTATGACACTATAGTGCTAAATCTACCCTCTTTATTAGATTCTAGTACCTTTATCTTTCCTTTGTTTAGTTTTTAGTCAGACCCCAGTTACATGTTAGGATGGAAGTATGCATGTTAGTGTTGGTAAATAAAGGAAGAGTCTAGTATCCAGAGGAGTTGTATAAGACTGTAAAGTGAATTTGAAAATACTTAAGAGTTAAAGGAAAATACTGTTAAGCAAGACACATTATTTTGAAAGGAGGAGGTTTAAAATGCAAAGGCATTTGAGCTAATTCCTTCATTTTTTAAAGGTATTTTATTATCTCACTTTAACTTGTAGTTATTCTGTAAACACATCTATAAACATGGTAATTTGAGATCATGGGTCTCGAATCTGAAGCATCTTATTGAATGGAAAACTATAAACACAGCCACGGTTTGTTTCCTCAAACACTTTGATATAGGAGCCCCCAAATAGTCAGCCAAATGGCTTTTAAATAGTGATGACAAGAGAAAAATTATCTTGTTTGGTATAGTAGGGCACCAATGTGATCAGATTTTGTAAGGCTTTAGATCTTGCTGGTGAAAACTGTAAAGGGGTCGTCCCTTATTGCCACTCTCTTCAGCTGAGACCTACTTCTCCAGCAGAAGTAGTTGTAAGTACAATCACTTGACTTTTACAAGGCGGCTTGTCATCAACCCAGAATACAGATGGTGCAAATATCTTTTCCCACGTCCATCCACACTAGGAGACAACCTTTGTCCCAAACTGCCTCACCCCCCAGGCCAGGCCTGGGGAAGCAGGCATGATCGGGAAACGAGGCTCTTTCCAAGAACATTGTCCTGGTAGTATTACATCAAGAAATAGGATCTATTTGAAGAAGCAAATGGCAACTATTTGGGAGTTTGTTGTTTTGAGGTGGTAAGTTTAGTTTTGGTTACTGGTTTTAGTCACAGTGGGTCATTTGAAGAATTGATGACATTTAGCTTTAGAAACTGAGCAAGTGATCTCCTAATATTACCTAATATTTGCCCTCTGATGCAATGGTCAGTAGCCATGTGGGCATGTTTGGTGATTTATGCTTAGGAACCCATATTTTCATAAAGAAGCTTGTCTGTACATACACATGCATACACAATGCTCCCACTGGCCTCATCTCAGTGGATTTCAGAGGTATTTACATTTTCTGCAGTTGGAGTTTAAGGAATGAAGTCACTAGTTGAATAGGAAATACAGCTTGAGTGCAGCCTTCAAAGATGCATACACAATGCTCCCACTGGCCTCATCTCAGTGGATTTCAGAGGTATTTACATTTTCTGCAGTTGGAGTTTAAGGAATGAAGTCACTAGTTGAATAGGAAATACAGCTTGAGTGCAGCCTTCAAAGATGCATACACAATGCTCCCACTGGCTTCATCTCAGTGGATTTCAGAGGTATTTACATTTTCTGCAGTTGGAGTTTAAGGAATGAAGTCACTAGCTGAATAGGAAATACAGCTTGAGTGCAGCCTTCAAAGATGGAAGAGGAAAAAGTCAAGACCTAGTTAATGCCTCCAAGAAACGCATGGCGATGGCCACCCTAGACACCCTTCCGTTCAGTCCCCAAGGTAGGATGGCTGGATCCTTGTTCTCTCAGTCTAGGAAATACCATTACAGCCATCCTAATCTTTTTTATGTCTGATTTGTGCTTTACAATCATTATTGTATTGTGAATTAAACTTCAGGAAAAAACTCCACTTTCCATCAGCTAGAATCTTCTTTAACCTGAAATTTTCACATTTCTATCAACTTGAAGTAGAAGCTTGCATAAAACAGAACATTTCCTGACAACTATTAATAAAAACGCATTTGTTGGAAAGGTACAAGTTAGTTTTAAGAAGTTTAGAACAAACTATGCTTCCTTAGGCAGAAGCCAAGATGGGCAAAGCCCTACACCAAGCCCCTGGACTATGTTGATCTTGGGTACTTGCTCAGAGTCTCATATCTGAAGCGACTCTAAACATATCCAAGTGGCTCACATTCTCAGGCATGCACAGCCCAAATGGGAAGATCTGTTGATCACACATTGGCTGTGTGCCTATGCTCTAACAGCTCAAATGAGAGGAATATTGAGCATCCAAAAACCACAAAATTTTAGAGCCTCATGACGGACATGTGGTGGTTTTAATTGGAATGGCCTCCTTAGGTTCTTATATTTGATTGCTTGGTCTTCAGAGAGTGACTCTACTTGATAGGGATTAGGAGGTGTGACCTTTTTGGGGTATGTGTGGCTTTGTTGGAGGAAGTGTGTCACTGGAGGTGGGCCTTGGGGTTTCAGATGCTCAAGCCAGGCCCAATGTCTCTCTCTTCCTTCTGCCTGTAAATCCAGATGTAGAATTTTTAGCTTCTTCTCCAGCACTACATCTGCCTGCATGTTGCCATGCTACCCACCATTCTGATAATGAACTAAACCTCTGAAGCTGTAAGGCAGCCTCAATTAAATGTTTTCCGTTATAAGAGTTGCTGTGGTCACTGTGTCTCTTCTCAGCCACAGAACACTAAAAAGATAGGGATATTATCTGACTGACATGTGACAATAACTTTCGTATTTCTAATTTACTTGTGATCATCCTAAAGATGAAAATCCAGGCCATGAGAAAATGAGTTACTACCTGTAATTATTAGATTCAAGTTGTTGAAACACCATTCTAAACACTAAAGTGATCTTCTACTTCACTTAATATAATTCTAGTATTAGCTGTGTTTGTGTGTATTTTTATTTTAGAGTAATCCTCTAAATGTGGCATGTGTAGTGGCAATCCTAGCCATCGCATAGGTTTAATGAAAAAATCCATTTCCTCAAATGTACACTTAGCCACACAGCACATGGATCTTTATGAAGATGTTAGTGAGTATTTTGTAGATTAAAACCATATTGTCTTTAAGCTAAAATGACATTTGTCTAAAGGTTTCAAAGAAATAACATACTCCTAGCTCCGAACAGGAAATTTGTGGCTTGATGCTGTATTGAAGAGCTCAGCATTACTTCTTTGGAGAACACAGCACATGACTGACCCCCTGTGGTCATATTTTCAAGGTGCCCACCATTTTCCACTGCAAGCCAGCCTTGCAGCATCTGTAGCAGAGGTCCTCTTAGTGTGAGATCTGGATACATCATAATAGAAAATGAGACATTATGTTTACACATCGAAACAATAAACTAGTAAGCTCAATTTTGCCTTGATTCAAAACTTATAGACTTGGTCTTAATGACTTGCACAAGTCTTTGCCTATAACATACTATATATGCAGAAATATGTATGTATGTATGCATGTTGCAATATTCACAATTCATCTATTATGTCTGGAACATTTGGCAAGCACTTCACTTATGGCTCATTTGATCATTGTAATAACTATATTGTCTTTATAATTTGATAGGTGAGAAATGAACGTCAAAGATTAATAAATGATTTTGAAAGAAGAATTAAAATCTTCTCCCCTCTCCAGATCCATTCATTTTGAACGCATCCCTTGAAGGCTTCCAGGACTATTCTCTAAACATTTATTTATGTTTAGTTTATGTCTGTGTTTGCTTACCTGTATGAACATGCACTGTGTTCGTGCCTGGTCTTACACAGACCAGAAGAAGGCATCAGACACCCTAGAACTGTAATTACAGATGTTTGTAAGCTACCATGATAGTTATGGGAACAAAACCTGGTCCTTTGAAAGAGCAGCAAGTGATCCCAATCACTGAAACATCTCTCCAGCCTACCAAGACTACTTCAACAATGAGGCATCACCTCCTTAAGACTTTAATACTTAGCATATATTTCTTTATGTTATTTGTATAAGTATAAAACACCAGCTGTTGGTGAGATGGGAGGAGTGTTAACATTTAGCTATTAAACAAAAAATCTTTTTGGGAACAGTGTTTGTAGTCATGGTGGGAGACGAGAATGACGAGAATGGTGATGGCTTGTTACATGCTAGGGACATCTCAAAATGTGCTATGTGTTCTAACTGGCTAAGTCTAGCTGCCTCACCTCTGTGGCTCATGATGGTTATATGTTTCCATAAGAGAGAAAACTGAGACTTAAAGTAAGTTGCTTCTTTGGGTTGAATTATATCTTACCAAGATTCATGTAGTGAAGTCCTGAGTCTCGGTACCTCAGTGCATATCTTTTCTTTGATAAAAAGTCATTGCAAATATCATTAGTTAAGATCAGGTGTCTGCTGCTGTGAAGAGATGCCATGACCACAGCAGCTCATAGAGAAAAACATTTAATTAGGGTGGCTTACAGAGATTTAGTCCATCATCATCATGGCAAGACATGGCATCATGCAGGCAGACATGGTGCTGGAGAAGTAGCCTAGGGTGGTGGAGAGGTACAATTAACAATGAACATTTTTTAACTATTATGTTATTTTTTTATTTAGGTTAGAAACAATCTTGTTTCACATGTCAATCCCAGCTCCCTCTCCCTCCTCTCCTCCCCTGCCCTCCCCACCAGGTCCCCCAGTCCCCAATCTCCACTCTGATCCCCGGGGAAGGTGAGGCCCTCCATGGTGGATCTCCAGTGACTCTCATTTCATCCAGGGCAGGGCCTAGGCCCTCCCCCAAGAGTCCCATCTGAGAGAGCCTCCCATGTTGTGGCATGGACACTCAAAGTCTATTTGTATGCCAGGGGTAAATACTACCCAAGGCCCCATAGATTACCTAGGCCTCCTCACTAACACCCAAACAATTAACATTTTAAGAGGGTAAGAGAACAGCATTTCTATAATTACACATTTACTCTTTTTGATTTTAATATCTCTATTTCTCTTTTTTCGTTTTTTAAATTATTTCTTACGTTCCAATCCCAGTTCCCTCTCCCTCCTTTCCTCTCACTCCCTCCACTCCCCCCTCCTCCCATCTGCTTCTTGGAGAGGGTAAAGCCTCCCATAGAAGTCTATTAAGTCTGTCCTATCATCTAGTTGAGGCAGGATCAAGGCACCTCTCCACCCCCACACCCCTGCGTCTAGGCTGGGCAAGGTATCTCTCCATGTAGAATGGGCTCCGCTAAGTCAGTTTGTGCATTAGTGTTAGGCCAGTGGCCTCATATATTACCCCAGTCACACCATCGTTCTTAGGGGGCTAGAGAGACGACATGGCAGTAAGCATGCTTGTCGTTCTTGTAAAGGACACAGGTTTAGTTTCTAGCACCCACATCAGGCAACTCATGATTGCCAGTAAAAGAAGATCCATTGCCATCTTCTGGTCAGTGAGAACACCTGCAAGAATATGGTATACAGAAACTCATGTAGAGACAAAAATACATACGTAGGTGATAAATGAGCTGTTCAGAGACATCTTGATTTGGCCACAGATTGTAATCTGCTAACCTTTGCTTTAATCCTGATGAAGACACGTCAGGGAGAGAAATGAGATGAGCCATGTGGTCAAGTACTGCTAACCTCACCTGTTGCTGGGTGACAATATTCCTGGGAAGACCGGAGCAAACATAACATCTACTAACCCTAAGTAAGGAACCAGACCCTATACAAGAGCAGCAAGTTACTGAACCAGCTGTCTTGTTTATATGTATGTATGTATATATATATATATATATACAATATTTTTAAAGAAAGAAAGGGAAGAAACCCCACTGCAGAACTAATGGAAAAATCCAACCTGAGAATTAAAAGGAGAGGTGGTACACTGTGATCTGGAATGATCTAAGCCCTCTTCCCTCTCATTATTATTTGATGTTTAGACAAGGCCTGGCTATTTACAAAAGCTTTATAATAATTTATTAATCTGATGTGCTTTATGGCCAAGGGCTTTAGAGTACTCACAAAGATTAATTACAGTAGAGCTTAGCAAAAGGTAGAGGCTCAGTTCATGGTTCATTAAACTCTTAGTGTGAAGGGATTTGCCCAGCTCCCAGATGGAAAATGAGCAGAACTGTTGTGGGAGAGGCACCCTGGAGAGGCCACCCAAAACCCAGGAAAAGAACTGAACTTCGAGTAAATGGATCTACATTTCTTTATAACAATATTATAACTGAAAGCTTTTGATTTAGTAGTACTTAAAGATGGCTTTATGGGACTGGAGAGATGGCTCAATATTCAAGAATGACTGCTGTTCTTCCAGATGACCCAAGTTTGATTTTTAGCACCCATGAGAAGTAGCTCACAGTTGCCTGTAATTCCAGCTCCAGGAGATCCAACACATTCTTCTGACCTCTTTAGGAACATGCATACAGGTGTCATACACACAGGGATAAAGATACATAAGTAAAAATAAAGAAAATTTTAGTTTAAATTATAGCATGCCAGTTAAAACCTATTCCTTATAACTCTACAGTCTCAGAAATCTTTTCTCTCTCCTCTAGGGCATGAACTTGAACCCCTTTTTAATTAAAAAAGAATCCATCACTCTGAAAAACATCTCCATCTCCTAAAAATATTTTTTACTGTTTAGCCAACAAGTTAAACAGTGATGATGAAGGTAGATTTATGAACCTAGCTTCCAAAAGGAAAGTAATTAATAAAAATCTTCAGTTATCACTGTAAGAAAAAAGTATAACTACATATACCTTTAACATCTATCACAAATTATGATAAAGAAGTAGGCTAGGAATTCCAAAGTGTGTTAGCACCTGAAAAGACATTATAAAATCCCCCTGAACAAAGCAGCTAGGACCATTAGGAAAGCGATATTAAAATGGACAGAAGGAAATCTCTGCAGGTCAATTCGGACTGGTCCATGTGTTTTACAAAGCTGTGAAATCACACAGCATTCTGTCACATTCTACTTTTACTCATCTCCACCAAAACTACATCTTTACCTGGTCACCCCTTCCCTGAAAGAGAAGACTGGAAATAGTACGAGCTCACGAGAATCAAAGCAAATGAAAATTAAAGGAATTTTTTCACAGCGACTTCATAGGACAGAAAGGATGAAATTCAAACAGTTCTGTCATTACATAACTGGTCCTGAAAGAGCCTGTAGTGAATTTCTACTGCCAAATCTCATGGTATGTACAAAAACTTCACCAGAGCACTGGGTATGTAGATCGGTTAGGATATGTTTACTTAGCATGTGACACTCTCTCCATTCCATCAACAAACTCTGGTCATAGTGGTGCATACCTGCAATCCTAGCACTAGGAAGTGGAGGCAGGAGGATCAGGATTCAAGGTCATTCTTTGTCTCACAAGAAGCCATCTTCACCATGCTGTGTGAAATCATAGTGACCGACAACTCTCAATGACTTTGTCCTTGTGAACTTACCTATCTGTGGCTGATGGTGACATCTTAATCACTGACCACTATTTCTTCTGCCATGCTACATGTAAAGGAAGATTTTGCTGCTCTCCATTGATACACGAGAATAAACTTGGTGAGCCAGTGTTCTGTCTTTCCCAAAACTGCTTTCCAAGAAATACCAGTTCTATGCGAGTCTATAATAATAAAAAAAGAAGATTCATTTTCAAATAAACTTAAGTAAACCGCCATGATTCTTGCCTTGGTGATTCATATTGGGCTGGATTTTAAATTTGTTGAGTGGTCTGTTGGTAAAGAAATTTATTTGTTTATAGGTTTTAGGGGGCTATTTTGTTTATATATAACATTTGTTAACATCCCATGGAATTAGTTTTATAGAGACCTTCTACAAATAAACTCAGAGGAAGAGAAATCAGTTGAAAGTATTTTTTTAATATTTCAAATCCATAGCTATGTGTCAAAGCCAAACTTCAGAACAACAGAACCACTGACACAATGCTGTATACCAATCTGTTCGCTATTTCAGAGCCCTGCCCCAGAATATTAATACTGTTTTCCTCCTCTGTAGCCTAGCTAAAGTCACCCATGTGACAGTTAGTTAGTATTGATTGTCAACAGGATTCAGAGGCGCTTAGGAGACAGCACATCTGCAAGGGATTATCTAGGTTAGACTAACCTGTGGGTTTTTTGTTTGTTTGTTTTGGTTTATTGAGGCAGAGTTTCTCTGTTTGCTTTGGAGGCTGTCCTGGAATTCTCTTTGAAGACCAGGCTGGCCTTGAACTCACAGAGATCCGCCTGCCTCTGCCTCCCAAGTGCTGAGATTAAAGGCGTGTGCCATCACCACCCCACTCAGATGTTTTAAAAGACTTTGTTGAAGTTCTTTAACCATAAGCGAAGATTGGACTTGTGACCTTACAAGTTAGCAGTACATAAGAATAAGACAAGTCTAAGGAAAAATATAATAAAATTTGAGAATTATAAAAGTATCATAACTATAACTATTCTTCTCATAGCATTGTATTTATTCCAACACCAATAGGCAATTGTTGAAAACAGCCAGAAGTGGATAGAGAGAAGAGAGAGCAGGGGAGAGTAGAGAGGGGTGAAGGGAAGAGGTGAGGAAGGAAGGGAACGGAGAGGAGGGGATGGGAGACATTGAATTCCACATTTTTTTCTGACAGTGGTGAAACGGTGAAAACTGTTTCATTTAAGGAATTCCTGAAGCAAACTGGCTTTTTTCCATTTCCCTTCCTCATCTTCCTGTCATTAGGAGGCTTACTTCCGTCACAGGCTCGCCACCATGGCAGTCTCAAGTTCCTGAGTAAAATTGGTGCCTCTTGTTCATGAGTTTCGTCTCATGAGACAAAGTCCTGTATCGGCTTGTTCGTTCCCTTGTACCTGAGACTAGCATCTGACCAGCACTTAATGGATGCCAATAAAAATTTGACAAAGAAAAGAAGGAATTGATTTGGGGCTTTGGCATCATGATGGATTTATACTCGTTCGCCTTGTCTTTCAGGGACCCACGGCTTAAGGTTATAAACTATGGCCATGAAACAGGATTAACCCAATTGACCTTACCCAGTCCCAGTGTTATTTTCATTTTCGCTGTAGTCTAATACCTTTTTGAAATAGCACACTCTTTTTTTTTTTTTGGTTTTTTGAGACAGGGTTTCTCTGTATTGTTTTGGAGGCTGTCAAGGACGTCAACCTGGAGCAACTGGCCTAAGAACCCGGCAGGGGGTGAAGGAGTGAGGGGGTTGCTTTGCACACCATGTGTGCATGTAGCAGGGTATTGTTTAAGCACATAGAGCAGGATATTGGCAAGGTAAAAAGTTCAGGGGGGAGAAGAATGGGTGGGCTAACGGCCGTTGTCTAGGTGATGGTTAGGGCTGGCTAAGTTTGGACAAGCTTTCTAGGTCATGACATTCCTATGTTCTACCTATGCTGTTTCTCTTCTGAGTACCCCCAGAAGTCTCCTTTGTTAAGGCTAAAGGCCAATTACGTAAATATTTAGACTTTAGAAAGTACAGGTTTGGCTCCAAAAGATCAAGGTACCTCACCCCCCGCCCGTTCTCCTGCTCTAGCAAATATATTAACTGCCCTGAGAAAAATAAAATTTGCCACATGATCAGCTGCTTGTCGTGTGGTCATTCCTTCATGTCTTCTTGTCCCCATCCCCGGTCCTTAGGTCAGTTGCTTCAGGTTGAAGTCCTTGACAGCCTCCAAAACAATACAGAGAAACCCTGTCTCAAAAAACCAAAAAAAAAAAAAAGTGTGCTATTTCAAAAAGATATTAGACTACAGCGAAAATGAAAATAACACTGGGACTACCTGCTCTTCAGTCACAAGTTCAAGGTTTTCAGATCTATTTTTGATGTCATCTAAATATAAACTTAAAGATATTTTCATCAGGCCAAAGGCATCTCTGTCCAATCTACACCTGACTCTCTGGACAGAAGAAAAATGTACAAGTTTCCTACTCAAACCTGTAGCTTTTACTAGAACTCAAAGATATGAGTCTGTTCCTGCTGTCTTACAGATACCTGATGTCTGCTTTTTCTACAATGTAGATTTTGATACAGATTGATAATACTAATATGCCTAAAACTTTTAAGACCTTTTATATAATAAAGTCCATATAGGTTTCAGAGAATCAAAAGTCATAAAGCTTGGATCCACTTCTCATAGGTCCAAAGGACTCCAGATAAGTACAACTTTGTGTTATCCCACCTGTCTGTTTCTGAGAATGGGATTTATCTGAAGCATCTTGTTGGCAGACTCTGTTGAAGAAACAGGGAGCGTTCACTTGGGCTGGACTGGTTTATATCCACAGCAAGTCTAGAGCTCTTAGTCTTTAGGATCAGTCTGTAGTCAGCAACCGATGCTCCAATGCATCTGCCAAAAGTGGAAATCTGTTTGAGACATGTTTAAATTGGGAACAGAAGTTAAAACGTATATACTTTACTAGAACTCTTAGGTTCATAGTTTTAGTGATCAGGAAGGGCAGGAGTTCCAAGACAAGCTCTATCAGCTTATCAGAACTTTATTAAATGAGCTGTTAAGCTGGTTACAGTTTAACCATTAATACTATCAGAGATCTGAAAAGGAAGAATTTTATACAGTTTCTGAATCTATTAAAAATGACAGGGTCCAGTCCACATACAGTTAGTCATACCCAAGTCTCCATTAGCAGGTAGGAATATCAAGGAACAGCATCAATCTTTGCCAGGCCTACAAAGTGAGAGTTTTTCTCTCTGCGGAAGAGGGAAATGGAGAAGACTGACCTTATTTTGTCTAGGCAAAAGGGGTACAATCAGTTCCCCAATGTCCTGTCACTTGTGCACAGTCTGGGCCAGGTCCTGGCAGCAGGTGTCCATTGGGGCATTCTGCCCCCTGGTCAGCGTTGTATAGACATCGAGGTGTCCTGTAATCTTCTTTTGGAGATTTTGGGTCACTGTCAGGATCTGGAATTCTCTGATATTATAAACGTTTTAATTAACATTTTAAATGCCACATTTTGTAGATCTCTGGAAGCATCCAGAGTGTTGTCTAGGTAAATATGGATATGCAACTTTGTTTTTAGTTTTTTGTTTTAAGCTTAACCTTTGAAAACATATACAGGGGACTGAGTAAGGTTTATCCCTGAATATATATATATATATATATATATATATATATATATATATACTTAGTGTGACTACAACGATAGTATAGGATCTGTCTGGAGAACTGAATTCAAACTGAGAGGCTGAGGAAGGATGTTTTACTCAGAGCCCTCCAGTCTGACTGTAACTGGTTTTAACTTAGCAAACAGACAAGACATTTAGAGATAGAGTAACTTAAAACTATCAGTGACAAGAATGTAGATCTCCTGCAGACGGGACAGGCAGGATTTTTTTCATGTAATGTGTGCCCTACCGGGCCCTGGAAAGGCACAACATTCTGCAAACAAGCCATGTATAACAGAGCCAGTGAAAGAAGAAAACTGTCCAGTGACCAAAATAAAAGGCAAAAAAAGTAAATGAATTATGTCCAGCAGCAGAATTTGTTGGGAGAAACTGAGTAGATTGTCCCTCTGTCTAGGCTGAGGGAACGGATTAACTCATAGCAAAAATAAAATGCCCTTATGTTCTTAAAACCATTATCACCTGGGTGATTGTTAAATTACACAGTTTACATATATTTTTAGAGCAGAAAACTCTAATTAACAGAGTAGATTCCATTGCTCCTTAAAAGGGGGAAGGCACAAGTTAGAAATAGGAGTCTCTTGCTCCACAGACTGAGGTACACTCCCAGCCCCACATCTCTTTGTCAGTGATTGACCATGCATGAAAGACTGGTAAAACGTACTGACTTTTTTTTTTTTTTTTGGTACAAGTTATGTGAAAAAGTTTAAGCAACCACACGTCTGATAGAGAACTTCTACGAAACTTAACAGTGGCATAAACAAATGATCCAAGCAGAAAATGGGCAAAAGACATGAACAGACATTTCATTACTAAGTACATACAGATGGCAATATCATATTAACCCTTTGAAACCTGTACCTTGGCCATTTTGTTTGAGTTGGCTGCTAGCCGTCCAAGGTGAGGCAAACCGCAGAAAGACTGCATCCAGGCATCAGTGGAGTCTGGCCTGCAGTCAGGGTGATCCATCTTTCATGGGAGTCGCTGTGTGCACCCACCATAAACGACTTTGGCCCATAAGGGAAGGGGGAGCAGGCTTAGAATAGCAGGCAGCCTCCTCCTCGAGGGTGGCGGTGTCTCTGGGGTCGAGGAGCTTGGGGTTGTTAAGAACGGGATAGAGGGAGGGTTTTAGGGGGGCTGAATCAGGATTTGGCATAGGTATCTTTGTTTCAGGACAGGAAGGGGGGGAGGGGGACTTCCTGAGCAAACCAAGGACAAATCTCCCCTACAAAAGTAAAGAATTTCTGTAACTGCTTTTTCTTGACTCTAATTCCCCGTGTCTTGAGGGATTCTTTGATCCCGGAAAGATACAAATCCTCTTTGCTAAATTCTTGTCCCATTACTCACCTCTCCCGAGGTGGTGTTCATGAATCCTGGAGTCAACCACAGGCAGAGTCAGGCAATCGGCACTCCTTTGAGGGTCACTTTCACCTGTGTCGCTGACTCCTCTAAGCGTGGATGGGCCCGTCCCTCTGATGAACACTGAAACCCCCAGAACAAAGGTCTATCGAGCCTTGAACTCACAGAGATCTGCCTGCCTCTGCCTCTCGAGTGCTGGGAATAAAGGCATGCGCCACCAACGGCCGGCTTAGTACACTCTTTTTTTGAGAGAGTGAAATCCATCTAAATTTTGTGCCTGCATAGAGTCGTGTGGTCATAGGAAACTGTTTTGGGAATAGAATGAGGTGAGACAAGTTAAAAATGTGTTGTTGACATGCAACTGGAAGGTTCATATTTGAACATCAGGAAAGAAGGCCTATAAGGGGAATTTGGTCATTTTGCCTGTGAGTGTCCCTTTCTACCAATAAAGCCACACCATTACCAGGTGATCTAACAGAGTTGTTACGTACCACTCCTTGTGCCTCGAGTTTGCTAAATCTGGAAATTGAAACAAAGCAGAGACGATAACAAGACACAAGGCGGCAAGCATCTCAGTGTGGTTAACTTCCTGGCATGCACTGAGACCAGTCACACTGTTCACAGAACAAGGCGATGAAGGACACCCCGATCAGTAGGAAGCCAACAAAGTCAGTGAATTATTTTTATTATACTAGGAGGGTATAAAAAAATTAGTGCTGTTTCAACAAAATGGAAGAGGATTCAGGTACTGTTGTATTTCTCTTCCGAGCCTAGATTTGAGCAGAGCCATTACATGTGATTGTAATTCCTGCAGTTAAGCAGATGGGCAAGCAGTACAGCAGGAATGATAATAATCTACACGGAGTGTTCCTAAGACATGACTTAGTGCTTTCAGACCCATAAAGCTTGCAGTTTTATGGAGATGAACCTTATTATAGGCCCACGTGCAAGCACATGCTCATCAAATGACCTCAGCCGCATCAACAGCTCAGATCCTTTGTACCTCCTAGCCTTCTGGAATCAGCCTGGGGAAACGTGGCCTCAAATCCATTTCTTCTCTGTTAAGGATTCAAACCAGATATAGAAAACAGTGGTCCTATGCTTCAGACTCCTTACTTTAAACGTGAGACACTGATAACACTGTGCTGCTATTGGCAAGTGGTTATAAACTGCAACCATTGTTCCCTGCTTACAGCTTCAGGGATGCTGCCAATGGTAATTCTCAAAGGCAAGGGGAGAATAGGTAGACAAATTCACCATAGAAAATCTCTGACCATTAAAAAAAGGAAGAAAGCCGGGTATCGGCGGTGCCTGCCTTTGATCCCAGCACTCAGGAGGCAGAGTCAGATGGAGCTCTGTGAGTTCAAGGCCAGCCTGGTCTACAGACTGAGTTCTAGGACAGCCAGAGCTACATAGAAAAACCCTTGAAAAAAGCAAAAAAACAAAACAAAGCAAAAAATACAAACAAAAACCAAGAGAGAGAGGGAAGGAGGGAGGGAGGGAGAAAGGGAGGAAGGGAGGGAGGGATAGAGAGAGAACTTCTGATTAACCTCAATTAGCTGAGAGTCAGAGAGAGTTTGGGTACAACAGAAAGAAGGTAGGGCTTATTATCTAAAGCGCTAGGTATGAGTTGTGACTGGGACAGTATTCATATTAATCATATAACCCTGACATTCTGTGGAAATAATGGTACAGCTGCTTATGAAGTCAGGAGAGATCAAGCGTGGCATCTGACAGGCCCATTCGTTTTGGCCTCTGGTGAGTAACACATTGTCACAGAAGCAGCCCTTGGAGCTAGAGCTCACATCTCAATCCAGGAAGTTTACAGACACTGAGAAGTGTCATCCCACAGTCCCCCTTGGAGAGCATGCCTCCAGTCACCAAAAGACCTCCTACTTGGCAACACCCAATGCTGCCACTCTAGAGACCAATCCTTTAAAAACGGATGCTTAGGTTCGGGAACACTAGCCCTAACCCAACAACAGTTAATGGCATCAAGAAATTGTTCAACCTCTCCACCCTCGGAGTCCTTATCCTTAAAATGTGAGAAACGCTGCCTACCTGCTGCATAGCATGGCTGCAAACAACCCAAATGAAACGCTAGGCATCATACAGCCAACAAACACCATTTGCTTTTCTTGGTTAGTAACTGACCTTTGGAGGGGAACATCTTCCACTTTCAAAGCTGATTAACATGGAGTCTCTTGACTGATCTGACAAACCACATGACATGAATCATCTTTCACTCAGAAAACTGAAGGTCATACTAGACCCCAGGCTCTACCTGTAGTCTTGTGTTGATCCTAGACCCCAAGTTCCTCTACCTATAGTTCTGCACTGACACCAGTAGTCTGACTACTGTGACAGCTGGAGTCATAGGAGGAAATAAGTGAAAAATGTAAGACACTGAGTTTCTCAAGATGGCACTTAGCTAAAGAGACACAAGAGTATTATAGTAACCTAGGCGACATCATTCCATGGTACACTGCAGAAACTACAAATAAATACATTGTTAACAAGTGTTGCTCGTTTGTCCTTCTGAAAAAAATAATAAAAATTTGATTCTTGGTAGCAATTAACATTGGCAGAAACCTGCCACTGACATATGCATAAACAGGTAAGATTTTTATTTACAGTTCCTTCCACTGAAAAGCTATTGCTAAGCAGGAAGTGAACACCGGTTAGAAATACCACTTAAAGCATAGTAAAGCAGTTCATGGTGTAGTTAAATACTACTAGGAAAACATGTTTCTTTGTTTTTAGTCTAATTTTTTTAATTTCCCTTCAACATGCATATTTACAGTATGGATTCTGGGAGAAAGAGACGTTTAGAACATTTAAAAAATGTTTTTAGAAATGAAAAGTTGGGGCAAAGAGATAAAATGAAGGATTTCAACACATTTCTGAAGAGGTTAAGAATAAAGGATAATGTTTGGAAAGAAGGCAAGCTTAAAGCACCCAGCACCTGTGTGGTAGACTTCCTGCTGGATGAAGATGTCTACAATTATAAACACAGCAATTATCAGTAAACCAAGATTACATGTGAGAACAGAAGGCCAACAGGGTGACAGGGTCTTGTTTTACAGAACTAAAGATCACATCAATCATTTGTTTGAGACCTCGAAATATGGAAGGAGGTCTGGCTGTGTGGCTGAAGCAACACTCACAGCAACCACGCCCTCCCCACACACACCCCCTCCCCCATGCCATCCCCCCATGCCCTCCCCCCACACACACCCCCTCCCCCGAGCTCCACTTCACACCCAAAATCCTTGTTTTCCAGGGCCATTGTCTTGACTGTTACTGGATACATCCTTCCAAGCCTCTGCCTGTGACTGCCCCTACTCAGAGCTGTGTTCTCAGTGACTGGGGATACCAGGTCATCCCCTCAGTAGTCTCTGACATCAATCGGAATGACTCAGAAAGGACCAATCCTGACCCAGATCCACCAGAACCTGTGTGGGATCGTCAGCCTTCCGACTAAAGTTGTTCCCTCGTCCTGTTGCTGGTGTTGCCTGCATAGAGCGCCTACCAACAAACAGAATCATTGCCCATAAGTCTCCATGTCAGAATTGTTCCAGGGGGTCCAGACAAAGACACTTGGCTTCAGAAATGGTCCTACAGGTAATCTTTGGTGGAATTCTACAAATGAGATTGTTTGCTGACTAGCTGTTTGGCAATGAAGACCCCCTCAAAGAAGGGACATGAGAACTGAGAGCGGCATGGCATGTTCCAGGGGTCAGGTGTCACTCCTTTAGCCATGGGACAGCAACAAAAAGGAATGTGCGGGTGGGGGCATCTGAGAGGTGTCGTGGGCACAAGTGTCCTAAGAACTGTAGAGCCGGGGAAACCTGGTTAACTCGAGGCTCTGGCTCCATTGTAGAAGTGACTAGAGTTCAGACTGGTACTTCAGTGCGCATGTGGCGAAGAGGAAGTGAGAGAGGTTACAAAAGAACTTTCCAGTCAGAGGAAGCTTCACTTACCAAAGCCCTGATGCAGAAAACTGCCTGGCAGCAAGAGGAAGTGCGAACGGGCTAGTGAAATCTCCTGAGAGTAGACACAGAGTACATGGTGCCTAACGGTGCTGCGGAAGGGGTAGTGTCCAAGTCTTGGCTATGATAGGACTGGGGGGAGGGGAGGAGCAACCCGAAGAGCAACCCTACAGCACTGGAAAGCGCCTAGCAAAGACGCTCTCAAGAGAGATGTGTCTATACAAAACTCTGTTTGTTTGTTTGTTTGTTTGTTTGTTCGTTTGTGTGAACAGCCTTCACCCAACTTCCTCAAGGCTGTCGCAGGATTTAATTCAGAGGCATGCCAATCTCACAAAGCCGCCTCTGGAGACAGAGTGGCTAAGTAAGCCGCTCTCTTGGTGATGGGAAAGTCAAGTCGTCCCCACACACTGAGATCTACAAAGCCGTCTATGCCCTTTGGTTTGAGATCTTAACACGGAAGTACGTCAATTCTGCTGTTACAGATACTGCATGCAGTGTGTCCCTGCTCAAGCCCAGCCCTACCAGTGCCTGGAACTCAGAAAACAGAATCCAATAAATGCATGTTGTCATGTTGAGTAACTGAGTAAATACACTCTCAAGAAGGTGCCCCCGAAGGGACAGTAGCAAGCTGCTACAGGTTTATTCAGGCCTCGAAGTAAATGATGAGTTGGCACAGAAGCTCAAAGACAATGGGATAAGGCCGGAAATGAAGACACCAAACAACTTGTGTCATTACGGATGGTAGGAAGGGGGCACTCTCAGGCTGCGCCTGTAGGTGGAAACGTTCATGGAACTGGTACTGGGGCCCCTTCTGGTTCAAGCTGTGGCATTTGCTACTAAAAGGTTCTCCCCAAGGAAAGCAGCTGTCCCATTTTCACACTGGCCACTGACTCCCGTTTTGTACTTCCTGGTCTGTTTTGGAGTGAAAGGGCTTAGGCGTTTTGTTTACATGCAAGCCATACCAGGTGTGAAACTAAAATGAGTTGCAGTCCTTGGTTCTAGCCTTAAACCTGTAGGTGAGTCTGCCACCTCCTGACTGACAGGTGTCCTAGCAGCCATGATCCTATGAGCATCACCTAAGTGCTGAGCCTGAATTCTAAAGCCCTCCTTGAGCCCACTCATCTCTTCTCG